AGAAGGAGAGGCAGGATTGTGAGGATTGTGAGGATCACCCCAGCAGAGGCCGATCCTGCCCAACCAGACTTCCCCTGCGACGGCATGGCAGCGGAGCTGAGTGACCGAGAGAGGAGCATTGCCCCTTGCACCTGCCTTTCTTCTCCTTCTTTCTTCTTCTTCTTCCTCTTCTTCTTCTTCTTCTTCTCTTTCTTTCGATGATTACATGCAGTGCCGATGTGCCGTCCATACTGCTGTCCTCGTTCGTTTGTCTTGCTCCGCCTGTCGGCTCAGCCGCCCTGCCCCCGCGCCCCGCCTTCTGCCGCCCCGGGCCCCGACGTCCGGGGCCTGGCGCTGCGTCGCCCCGCTTGGCAGCATGGGCAGCGCAGCCGTCTTTGGCAGGTGCTGCGTTCCCCCCGGCAGCGCACCAGCCTTGCGGCCGCTTCTCAGCAGCGCAGGCTCCAGCAGCACTGGCTGGGAGCTTCTGCGGCGCCTCCTCCCCTCCGTGGGCACGGGCCTTCCCTCCTCCGCCGCGCACCCCTGCAGCGCAGAGCCCCGCGCCCAGGGGGCCGACGCGCCGGACTCCTGGACGTCCGCCCGTGTTGGCTCGCTCTCGTCGCGTGGCCCAGCCGCCGCCCGGCGGCTCAGCCGCCGTGTCCCCGCGCCCCGGCAGAAGGGGCCTCGTTTGTGGACCACGATCAAAGGAAAGGAAGCATGCTGCTTCATAATTTCCAGATGTTTATTACATATGTTTAAAACATGCCTCAAATACGTTAACATCGGTTCGAACATTGTTCAAACATTTTAAACACATGTTTTACCCAATGATCGGATTGTTAGGGTATCCATTGTCATGGCATCCGCAAGGCTTGGTGATGTGGCACCCCGATTGGTAACGTCGGCGGTTCTGCAGAGTCTCTGGCACATGTTGCGTTACCCCTGGCGGCGCAGCGGTCTCACTGCCCGCTTCTCAGCAGCACGGCGGGGCCCTTGCAGCATTCTGCTGCCGCGAGCCGTTGCGGCCTTCCCCCCCAGTGGGCGTGGGCCTTCTCGCATCCAACTGCCCCCCAGGCAGCGAAGCCTGTCGCCGCAGGTCACCGCCGAACACTTGGATGCCGCCCGTCTGTGTGGGCTTGCTCGCCGCTCCCCTCCCAATGCTGGTACGACTTGGCTCCGTCCTTGCACTGTGACCGCGACGCCGCCCCGCGTCCACAGCCAGGATGCGTCAGCGAAGGCGGACCGCCTGGCCACTCCAGTCGTTGTCCATCGCGCTGTGAGTGATCTCCTCCTCCTCCTCCCCCTGCGGCCGCGCTCCGCGCGCGTCCCCTTGTCTTGCAGCCAGCTCATTTGTGCTTGCCTTCGCCTGGCCCACGAGAGCGTGCGTGCGGATCGCCTTTGCCGCGCTGCGACGGCATATTTGTTTTGCTCCGCCTGCTGTCATTCATGCTACTCTGGGTTTCTTGATCTGCGTGGGGGGGTACCCCCCCGACAGGGGTCAACCTCGCCTCGTCGTCGCGCCGCGACGGGGCTCGGAGCGCCTTCGGCGCGCGGTGGCTGCCCGCGACGGGGGTCGATGTGGGGCCGTCGGCGGGGGCGGCGCCCCCCCAACGCTTTGCTTAAGAGACTCGGCGTAGGCTTCTCGCAGCCCTGCACTGCTCGCAGGACTCGCGTGGCCGTGCTGCCGACGCACCGCGCACTCGCAAGCGACTCGGAGTGGGCTTCTCGCAGCCCTGCGCTGCTCGCAGGATTCGCGTGGCCGTGCTGCCGACGCACCACTCGCAAGCGACTCGGCGTGGGTTTCTCGCAGCCCTGCGCTGCTCGCAGGATTCGCGTGGCCGTGCTGCCGACGCACCGCGCACTCGCAAGCCCGCTGCGGGCCGGGGGGAGCGACGGGCGCCGCGCACCCCCTGCGGCCAGGGCCGCCGCGCTGGCCTCTGCCGCCCTCGCAGGGGCGCGGAGGCGGCGGTGCTGCGCGCCCCGCGCTGCATGCTGTCGAGTGTGTGTGTGTGTGTGTGTGTTGGGGGGCCACATGCGAAGCCTACCCCTACCCTCCACGACTTCCGAGGGGGAGGGTGGGGCAGGGTTCGCATGTGGCCCCCCGTGTGTGCTGCAGTGGAGACCCATGCCAAGAAGCACCCTGCTTGCCTCCAGGGTATTCGGGTTAGTTAGGTTGGGGTGGTGTGGTGCGGTAGGTTCGTGCGGCGTTGGCGCGCCGGCGACGCCGGCGAAGGAATTCAAGATTGAGTTCTGCCACGCGGAAGCACCCAGGGACACGGTGACGCCACTGGACCCGACGGCATTCAACCTTGAACGATCGGGGCCGTGATCGGCTCAAAGACGGAAACGATCCAGGCAGTGTCAGAAACCTCTGCGCGCGCCGATGCCGCACGAGCCTACCGTGCAGTCGGACCGAGGTAAAGTGGAGGCCCATGCCACGAAACACGCTGCTTGCCTCCAGGGTGCCCTGGGTTTCCTGGGTTTTGATGGTCTGGCGACGGAGAGCGTGACGTCCCCACACCGAGAATCCATGAACGCCCTGGGGTCTCAGGGTTGGGTTTCTTGTGGAGCGTTTCTTGTGGTTGGGCCCCTACTGTATCATTTGATGGCCTGCGGCTCTCGCGGGGCCGACCAAATGATGCGACAGGGTGTCGGGAACCCCAGGGGGCACGCGGGAAGCCCCAGGGAGATCTCGGAATTGGGGGCCCGAGCCCCTGAAAGACCCCTCCCTCCCTCCCTCCCTCCCTCCCTCCTCCTCCTCCTCCTCCTACTCCTCCTCCTTCGGGACTGAGGACTGAGGCTCCAGGGATTAGGCATGTGGCCTGAGGACACGCCCAGGCCGTGCTCAGAGGGGCACGGTGGCGCGGATTGGGCGGCGTCACTCTCGGATCGCCGTCTCGCGCCCCTGCCCCCCCCCCCCCCGCCTCCGAAAATGGGCGGGGGGGTGGGTGCGGGGTGGCTGCGTTCTAATTAGGGTTTCAGTCGCAACGCGGCGATCGAAGGTTATTCGAAGCACGTTTCCTCTCCTTCCTCTTCGTGGTCGTTGTTTCCTCCTGTGGCTGCCTCGTCTCGCACGGTTTTGCACTTCGTCTTACATGTTTGATTTATTCGTTGTGGCTGAGTAGGCCGCTGGGGCGCGTGAGCCTACGACTGGACGCCGCAGGATGAGGGCGGATGATTTGCAAGATGTAGTGCGTTTTCCTTCTCCGCTTTTCTTCGTATTTTCCTCTTCTTTCTCTTCCTCCTCCCCCTTCGAGCTTCGCGCTGCGGATTTTTGTCTCAGCAATATTCCTCCTCTTCCCCCTCTTCCTCCTCCTCCTTCTCCTCCTCTTTTTTTTGTTTCTCTGTCTTGCGTTTTTGGTTGCAGTGCGATTTGGTTATAGTGCCGGCTGATGCGTGAGAGGTGTTTTGGAGGGTGCGCTTCGTTCAACGCTGAAAATATGTTGGTGAAGCGCCGATCCACTTACTAAGATTCGTCGACAGCGGCGATGTGCATTGCTTTGTCTTGTCAGAGTGAGATGGCCGAGTGGTCATGCATTGTCTCTGGTCCCTATGGGGCCACGAAGCGGTGTGCTGGATGGGGTGGACGCGTGCGAACGTCGCCACTGGGGCCTTCGGTGAAGCTCCCCATGGAGCCATAAAACGTTGTACAGCGTGGGGCGGACGCATGCGAACGTCGCCATTGGGGCCTTCGGTCGATCAGCCTAGGAGGCCACGAAGCGCTTTACCGGGCGGGGTGGAAGCATGCGAACACCGCCACTGGGGCCTTCGGTGGAGCTCTTTATGAGGCCACGAAGCGCTGTGCTGGGTAGGGAAGACGCAAACACCGCCACTGTGGTCTGCGGTGGAGCTCCACCTGGGGCCACGGGATGCTGCATTGGGTGGGGCAGACGTATGCGAACGTCGCCACTGTGGCCTTCGGTGGGGCTCGCTATGGGGCCACGAAGCGCTGTACTGGGTTGGGCGGGCGCATGCGAACGTCGCCATTGGGGCATTCGGTGGAGCTCCCTATGGGGCCACCAAGCGCTGTACTGCGTGGGCGGAAGCATGCGAACGTCGCCACGGGCCTTCGGTGGGGCTTGCTATGGGGCCACGGAATGCTACACTGGGTGGGGCGGGCGCATGCGAACGTCGCCATTGGGTCCTTCGGGGCTACGAAGACTGAACCGGATGGGGTGGGCGCGTGCGAACGCCGCCACGGGGGCCTGCGGTGGAGCTCCCCATGGGACCATAAAACGTTGTACTGCGTGGGGCGGACGCATGCGAACGTCGCCATTGGGACATTCGGAGGGGCTCCCTATGGGCTCACGAAGCGGTGTATTTGGTGGGGCGGACGCGTGCGAGCATACTGGTCTTCGGTGGAGCTCCACCTGGGGCCACGGGATACTGCATTGGGTGGGGCGGACGTCGCCAAGGGGGCCTGCGGTGGAGCTCCCAATAGAGCCACGAAGCGCTGTACTGCGTGGGGCGGGCGCGTGCGATCGTCGCCACTGGGGCCTTCGGTGGAGCTCCCCATGGGGTCGAGAAGCGCTGCACTGGGTAGTGCGGAGACGCCGACCGTCGCCATTGGGGCTGTCGGTGGAGCTCTTGCTATGGGGCCCGGAGCGTGTGAGGAGTGTGCCGAATTGACTGCCATGCGGAGAGCAGAGGCACGCAGGGGGAGGACGGGGGAGGAGGGGGAGGAGGAGGAGGAGGAGGGGGAGGAGGAGGAGGAGGAGGAGGAGGAGGAGGAGGAGGAGGAGGAGGAGGACGAGGAGGAGGAGGAGGCGAGGAGGCGGAGTAGGAGGATGGGTGTGAGGAGGAGGAGGAGGCAGAGGAGGAGGAGGAGGAGTGATGAGGAGGAGGAGGAGGAGGAGGAGGCAGGATGGACGCGGGGCGCTTTGGACGCGGGGCGCTTTTTATCCCAAACGAGGACCTGACACCACAAGATGGTTGGGTTCAAATGTGCGCGGCGCGAAGGCGATAATCACACTTTGAAAAGTAACTGGTCTCCATCCTAGAAAGCGTCGCAATCTTTTAAGCGATTGTGCGCGGCGCCGAGGCGAGAACCGCCTTTTGAAAAGAACCCTGCCTCCATCCTTGAAGCTGCTTCAAATTTCTATCTTCAGGATCATACTTGGCGAGGAAGTCTCAGGCGAAACGCCTGGCCCGGCCTACGGACATGTCTGGTGGTGCCACGGGCAGGAGTTATTTCTAAGTAAATGGATTGGAGGAGGAGGATGAGAATAGCATGAGGAACAGTAGGGTGGGTTCGGGTGGAGGGGGATGGGGGCATTGACTGACCCAGTCCTCCATTCATCTTCCTCCTCGCCCTCCCAGTCTACTTCTCCATTGTCTCCCCTTCCTCCACTCCATCCCTCTTCTGCCCCCCCTGCTCCCACTCCTCCCTCCTCCGCCCTCCCTTCGTCCTCCTTTCCTTCCTCCGCTCCCCCTCTTCTCCGCCCTCGTTCCTCACCCCCCCTTTACCTTCCTTGCTCTCCCGAGGTCCTCCCTTTCCCCTTCCCTTCCCTCCCCGTCCTCTTCCTTCTCCTTCCCTTCCTCGCTCCTCCCCCTTCCCCTTCCTTTCCCTTCCCTTTCCTTCCTTTCCCTTCTCTCCCCCACCCCTTCCTTTCCCTTCCTCACCCTCTTGGGTCCCGCTGTCTCCGTGGTCTTCTCTGCCGTGCTGAGAGGCGTTCTGGATTGACAGGGACCCTGGCCCACTGCCCCCCCCCCCCCTCCCCAGAGACAGTCATACAGTATGTAATGCCCTTGAACCCCACTCTGCGCGCACAGGGGGGCAGTGCGAGGATGGCCTTCTCAGAACCCCCCCCCTTCCCAGAAGCCCTCCTGCCTTTGCAAACCTCTCTATGGGGCCGAACCTTTGTAAGAAGTCCCCTCCGTTCTGCGAAGGCCCATCTCCTCGCCCCCCCCTTTCTGCGAGCCGCCAGCACACATGCGACTAGACAACCCGCCTCCCCTCTCCTCCTCGTTCCCCCTCCCCCTTTATCCCCCCTCCTCGCCCCTCCCTCCCTCCCTCTTCCGCATCCTCTTCCTCCGTCTCCTCGTCGTTGTCGTCGTCGTCGTCGTCGTCGTCGTCGTCGTCGTCGTCGTCGGTCGTCGGTCGTCGGTCGTCGTCGCCGTCGTCGGACGTCGTCGTCGTCGTCGGACGTCGTCGTTGTCGTCGTCGGACGTCGTCGTCCGACGTCGTCGTCGTCGGACGTCGTCGGACGTCGTCGGACGCCGTCGGACCTCGTCGGACGCCGCTCCCCGAGGATGCTCGGCCTCCTGCGGTGCCGCACGCCCGCCTGGGAGCACCACGTCGTGCTCTGCGGGCTGCCCCAGACCCAGGCGGGGGGGAGCGGGCGGGCGCGGGCTCCTCCCCGCTCCTCCTCCTCATCTCCTCCTACCTCTCTCCCTCCTCCCCTCCTCCTCCTCCCTCCTCCTCCTCCTCCTCCGCCTCCTCCTCCCCGCTCCTCCTCCTCCTCCTCATCCTCCTCCTTCCTCCCTCCTCCTCCTCATCTCCCTCCTCCCCCTCCTACGCTTCCACCTCTGCCTCCCCTCCTCCTCCTCCTCCTCTCCCTCCTCCTCCTCCTCTCTCCTTCCTCCTCCTCCTCGCCTCCTCCTCCTCCTACGCTTCCACCTCAGCCACCGCCTCCTCCTAAATCAGAGCGTCTCCGAGGGGGGGTCGGGGGGGGGGCGTCGCCGCCGCGCCGAGCGGGGTGCCCCCCATCGACCCCCGCTCCGCGGGCAGCCACCGCGCGCCGAAGGCGCGCGCCGAAGGCGCTCCGACCCCCGTCACGGCGCGACGGCGAAGCGAGGTTGACTCCCGTCGGACCCCCCACGCTTGTCAAAGAAATCCAGAGTACGGAAAGAATGGGCACAACGCCCAACAGCAGTTCCTGTTCAGTTTGAACAGGGCTCGCTGTCCGCGCCGCCGCGGCATGTGTCCATTCGAGACACAAGGCTGCTTAACAGCAGCTGCTGTTGGTTTGGGGCAACATTTGTTGTTGTGCATTGTACCCATCTTTTCCGTACCCATTTCGGGCGTCCAAATCCTCGGGGCTCAAGGGACGGGGGTCAATGCAAGCGGGGGTCAGTCAGAGCGCCGGATCTTGCAAGATCCTGCGGAGCCAGGCCATGAGAGCATTGACCCGGGCTTGGGTGCAGGATCCTGCAGGATCTTGCAAGGCCTGACTGACCCGGGCTTGCATTGACCCGGATCAGGAGGTCCCCGACGTCCCAGCTGCTGTCGCTTCGGCTGGCGCTCTTCCTCTCCTCTGCTCTTCCTCGAGGTAGTGGGGAGGGGATCGGGGAGGAGGGGAATGGGATAAGGCGGGGGGGAGAGGGGGGAGAGATTGGGGAGGGGGATGGGCAGGGAGAGGGGGAGGGGAGGGATGGGGAGGAAGAGAAGGCGGAGGGGGAGGCGGAGGCGGAGGCGGAGGCGGAGGCGGAGGCTGAGGCGGAGGCGGAGGAGGAGGAGGAGGAGGAGGAAGAGGAAGAGGAGGAGGCTCGCTCGCTCGCTATCTGCGCATGGCCAAGTCTCGCTGTTCGGGGAACGACGCTGGCCGCAGGGCGTTCGGGAGGCACTATGCTCCCGCCGATGTCAAAACTCTAGGGGAGCCCCTCCCCCAGCAATCAGCTTGGGGACTCCCTGATTGCAGCACAGGGTCGAGAGGCCTGTACGTGCATACACAGACTACATCTCGGAGACGCAGAGGAGACAAGCGGAACAGCGGCGGCAGCCGAGAGCGGCAGCAGCGGAGGAGAAGAGGGGGGGAGCGGCCAGCCAGGCCAGAAAGCCAAATCAAGTGAGGTCAGGAAAAACTTCATGGGCAGTAGGTTCAAACCCCTCAAACAGTTAGACTGCATTCGAACGATCTACTTACCTTGAGAAGACCCCTTCCCGCGACCTCTACCTCGACCGCGGCCTTTAGCTTTAGGGCGCACCAGCGGGTCCCACTCTCCCCGAAACTGAACCCGTCCACGCTCAGAGATCGAACCAAGGGCCTGCCGAGCTCCTACGCCTTCTTGTGGCGGGCCCCGCGGAGCATTTTCTCCAGGGAGTTCTGAACTCGGCGCTCCTGGGTGGTTTTCGGGGGGGGCCCCAGCTTCGGTGTGCTCCCGAGGGCGAGAAAAAGGGCCGTCAAAATCGAATTCATGGAAATCATCACTCCTCCCGCTCCTTGGATCCACGAGTTCACGAAGAACGTGTGGCGGACGAGAGGGGGCGCTCCTTCCTTCACGAACGCGGTCTTCGCTTTCCAGTAGCGCAGCGTCTCGCAGGCGATGGGCATCGGCTGCGTCATGATCTGTTGAATGAGTGCCGTCACGGACTTCAGGTGGTCCTGGAGGAGCGGGTCCTTCTTCAGCTGCTCTTGGGCGACCAGCGATTCGAGGACCGCGATGCTCACCTGCAAGCTGGAAGGACCGAGGCCGTGGTCCGAGGGCTTGTCCTTCACCGTGTCTGCGTACTTCTGAGCGGCTCCGATCGCAGCGTAGTTCACGCCGTGTTCCTTCGGCAGTAGGTGTGTGCTGAAGAGGCAACCCTCGATGGCCCGCTGCCTCTGGGCGGTGTTGAGAACTCCCTTCATCATCTCGGAAGCTGTCTCCCCGTCCGAGTCGCTGTCGTCCATGGCCAGGTCGCCAGCTCCCGCTGCCGCAGGCGAGTGTTGACGCCGAACCTTGGGCGCGCGCGGCTTGCCGCTGCCTCCAGCGCTGAACGAGCTCATCTGAGAATCGCCCAGGCGCTTCTTCGCCTGCTCCAGGTCCGTCTGGCCGATCTGCAGCATCCACGACATGGGGCGCGGCAAAGGAGAAGGTGGCGTCGGACAAATCGATGTGTGTGCGAATGTGCCGCTGAAGAGCCTCAAGTGACGGATGGTCCTTACTGCACGCAGGGCACTCGAACGTAGGGGGCAGCATTATCTCGTGATGAATCGGGCTTCGATCGCATTGGCAACTTCGTTTCAAGAGAAGACGGCGAACGTGCTGACGCGAAATCGCAACCGTCGAGTATGTGCTCATACACCAGGGGCGTTGGTTGGTGACTGTGAGGAGCTGTGAAGAGATCTATGGCCATGACTACCCTTCGTACTGAACCTCATATGTGCATACCAGCCCTGTTGGTCGTGAAATTCCAAGCCACACTCCGCGCCATCGGCCTTAGTCTCCGTGCCGTGCATCGCCAGACTCGAGGAGGGGGTGCTGGGTCGGGGTCATGCTGATCTCCTCCTCCTCCAGCTGCAGCTGCTCCTCCTTCTCCCACCTCCACCCGCCTTTTGCCCATCTCGTCGATCTCCCCTTCCCAGTACCGATCGCGAAGCTTGCTGAAATTGATGTTGTAAAACCTCTTGCTGAACTCATCGGTGAAAACTTTCAAGTGAACGTATCCCATGGCGGCGAGCAATTCAGGGCCGTCCTGAACATGCACCAGGAGTTTAAGATCATTGAGTGCCTGAAGGGCCCAGGGGTTCCCACGAACCTGTCCAGCATCATCCCGAGTGAGAAGACTATTTTCACAAGTAGGGTGTTCTTCACCTTCCATCTGTCCAAAGATCGCTGCCAACAGCTGCTTGTTCTCAGAGCGGTGAGCAGCAATCTCCTGCAGCCAGTGTAGCCGTCGTATGCGGAGCTCTAGCTGCGATGGGAACTAAACCAAGTTTTGTCCAGATACGCACAGCCGGGAGAGATATATGCTTGAGGGGGCCGTCGGCCGGCGGGATCTTCAGAACTGCCGCTCCTTTGAGCAACGTGCGACCCCACTGCAGCACTAGACCGTCGATCAGCTTATAATCACTGGCAGAAGGGATGAAGGCCTCGAGACCACTGAGTCCTGCTGCCTGCACGCGCGCCTGAAATACAAGTATATGTATACGTAGGGGTACATGTTTGACATGCCAGAACCGTCCCATTGCATACCATGCACTCCTCATGTTCTTCTGTATGGCGTGCCGTTGCTGTGCTGTAGTACCTGCGCCATGATATTGTGCCCCGAGATATTTTGCATGTGTGCTGACACGACCTGGTAGGCAACGCACGGGGTCAGTGAGCGAACGTGACTCACCAAAGGCACCAGGCCCAACAAAACGAGGTACCGTGACCTGCTTATCAAGATTCAAAGCGCCACCAGCTCGTGCAAGATGGCAAGTAAGACTGGCAGTAGCAGAGCGGGCTTGATCAGCCATGGCGTGCGCTGTGGGGGCGACGACCTTATGAGCCGTGTCATCCAAGTAGACGGTAGTAGACAAATCTATGGTCCGATCGACGATGTCGTTCATCGGGCTAGTGCACATAAGGTTTTTGCCACCTGCAGCTGCTTGTCTCTCAGAAAGCCACGGGGCTAAGACGCCACGATCAAAATTGCGAATGCATTTTACTGGTGCAGATTGATGGCCCTGGAGAATTCCCTCTTGAACCTGAAAGTGCCCCACTCCATCAGAACAATCCAGTGTGATAATACTCTGACGGTTACTATGATGACCAACATAAATATCATCTGGATGCATATGTAGATAATCTGTTTCATCAAGGATGTCGGCGGAGAGGCGGCCGAAGGCATTGGCCTGGTCAAAGAAAAGCGTGCAGTGAGACTTGCGCAGGCGTGAAAGACGCCATCCAGTGATCAGTTGTATCTTAATAGCTGCTTCACGGCGTCGGTGCTGAATGCCACCGTGCAGGTGGTCGGCAAAACCTCTCTCAGGATAGCAAGCGTCACCGCGGTGGCCAAGACATCTGCTGTATGCCTTACTGAAGGGACGCATGCGGTGCACAAGGCGGACAGAGCGAAGCCCAGTAGATGTAGCCGCAGGTTTGGGGATGCTGCAGCCCCGAGAACGATGCCGCGTTTGTGGGGCGCGGGCCCCTCCGCGGACATCCCAAAGAAACCCTCGGAGACGACGCGATAACCATTCCATGCTGGGGATTGTTTGGGCGAAGGCGTCTTGTTCGTCTTTGTATTAGGGGTGTCGGCGTGCGGGGAGCAGCATCATCCTGGAGATCTCCATGGGTAGGCTCCATGGGGGAGCACTCTTACGGTAAGCCATCTTCTTAAAAGACAGACAGATGCCCCTGAGGTCCCTCGCCGCCTCCTCCTTAAAGCTTGGCCCGTAGAACCTATGCCCCATCCCGTCCTCCAGGCGATCAGCAGGCAGAGAGACAGGGTCAATTTGGATAGCTGACTGGCCTCCAAGAGGCCCTCGTTGTGCAAGAAAGTCGGCCCACATCTGAATAGTGGGTCGCATGCTGAGCGGCTGATTGACAAAAAAAAACGTCGGCCTGGTCCCACTGTTGCGCAGGCAAGACGGCGGCGCAACCGATGCACAAGCGCCCAGCGGGACGCTTTCCAAGCATCCCAGATCTGCTCAGCGAGTGACTCCATACGTCGCTGACGGTCGGCGTCGCGATCTTGCTTAACCTGACGAGTAACTGCAAACAATCTGGCCTGGACCTGGGCGAGCTCCTGGAAGTGCACACTGTTGGCGATCACCACATCAGGAAGGTCCGCAAGTTTTTTTTGAAGCTCGAAACGTTGACGAAGGAGAGTGCGCTGGGCCTCACGGGCACGGGCAGGTTCAACGTCCTCTTCTGTATACCGGGCGAAGCACCCCAGAACAATGCCGCGAATGTCGTCAACGAACTTCTCCCAGGCCTGATCGGGGGCCGCTTTGCCCTCAAGTTGGTGCCAGGCGGGGAACGTGCGATAGCACATGTCTTCAACTTCTCGAAGGAACTGAGCGCACCAGAGGCCGTCGACAACACCATTTACCATGCGATCATGATCCCAAGACTCTGCTTTTGTGTAGGGCGCCGCTGGAAAGCTGAGGAGGTACCTCGCCGAGACCTGGAGGGGCCAGTGATCCCATCTGCGGACCGTGGGGGCCATTTGGAGTCTTCTGCCGAGCTTCTGAAGGACCCTGCACTGCGTGACCGATGAGAGCCAAGTACGGGGGGGCCCGATGTAGTCGACACGCGTGCTATTCTGCTTCCCGAAGAAGTGTCCTCCCCACCCACGAACGTGTTGATGAGACAGAGGCCAAACTGTTCGAGGTAGGTGCGCATTTTTCTCATGCAATAATGTTCTGGCCGAGGGAAAAGGTTGCCGATCGGGTCGAATTCATCCGAGATGTGTTCAGCAGGGGGCACTCCACTATCGTCATTCAGGTCGCCTCCGAAAACGATAGAACAGCGTGCAGGTTGTTCGCTAGAGATGTCCGTCATCCACTTAAGTAATGCATCTACGCTGGTATAGACTCTTCTGCTTGGCAGTCGACGGCCGAGGAGGGAAATAAACGACGATGGCAAGCATGTGTAATCGCCCAGATCGGAGAAGCACAGCACCTCCGCGCCCCTGGAGCGCAGCTGGTGGAGAGTAAACGGCAGCAGTGTGACGCAATCTGAAGATATCCTTTCGAATTCTAATTTGAACTCCTGCATGGGGCATTAGAGAAAGCACCGCGACTGTACCCCCAGCTCAAGATGTGGTGATCGGTGTCGGCGATACTGCTGCATGCATTATCCGTTGCCTTCATGCGTAGTCGAGTACCTGACAAAAAGACAACATCCTTGCGGGCATACGCGAGGGAGACCTCTGCATGTCGGCCTGGCTGGACGAGAGAGCGCACGTTGTGCGTGATGAGGTTGAGGCATCGATGTTCCACCATCCCTGCTGCGCGTGGGGGCGAGGGGCTCCTCAAGATCAAGGGGGATACATGGCGCAGAGAGTCACAGTATGATGAAAAAAAGGTTAGGCGTGTAGATATGGCATCGCGCGCAGAGCTGGACGCCTGGTGGAGGAGGAGGAGGAGGAGGAGGCAGTTCGGGCGGAGGGGCGCAGTCGGTGGCGGATGCGTATGTATGTATGTATGTATGTCTGTATGTGTGCATGTATGTATTTATACATGTATGTATGCATGCATGCATGCATGTATGCACGTATGTATGTATGTAGGTATGCATGTATGTATGCATGTATGTATGCATGCATGTATGCATGTATGTGTGTATGTACGTATATATGCATGCATGCTGCATGTATGCATCTATAGATACGTATGTATATACGTATGTATGTATGCATGTAATGTATGTATGTCTGTATGTATGTATGGATGTATGGATGTATGGATGTATGGATGTATGGATGTATGGCTGCATGTGTGTGTATGGATGTATGTATGTACGTGTGTACGTCTGTACGTATGTACGTATGTATGTATGTATGTATGTATGTATGTATGTATGTATGTATGTATAGGTATGTATAGGTATGTATGTATGTTTGTATGTATGTATGTATGTATGTATGTATGTATGTTAGGTATGTTAGGTATGTTAGGTATGTTAGATATGTTATGTTTGTTATGTATGGTATGCATGTTATGTATGTTAGGTATGTTATGTATGTTATGTATGTTATGTATGTAATGTAATGTAATGTAATGTATTGTAATGTAATGTAATATAATGTAATGTAATGTAACGCAATGTAATGTAATGTAATGCGATGCGATGCAATGCAATGTAATGTAATGTAATGTAATGTAATGTAATGTAATGTAATGTAATGTAATGTAATGTAATGTAATGTAATGTATATATATGTATGTATGCCTGTCTGTCTGTCTGTCTGTCTGTCTGTCTGTATGTATGTATGTATGTATGTATGTATGTATGCATGTGTGTGTAGCTCGCCAATACACGATACTCTGCAGCTCCCCCAAACACCTCTGCACCCGTAGGTACATATCCAATTGATCCGCATTTTCCTCCTCCCACCCCTCTCCTCCTCTGCTTTCACATCCCTCCTCGTCCTCCTCCCTCTCTCCTCTATCCTGCCTCATCTCCCTCGTTCTACGGGCTCCTGGTCCTTCTCCTTATCAGTCTTCCTCCTCCTCCGCCGCCTCCTCCTCCCTCTCCCCTCCTGCTTCTCCTCCTCCTCCTTCTCCTCTTGCTTCTCCTCCTCCTCCTCCTCCTCTTCCGCGCCCCTTGTCATAGCCTTCTCCCTCCCTCCCTCCCTGCTCCCTCCCTCCCCTCCCCCCTCCTCCTCCGCCCTCGTTCGTGGGCACGTGCCCCCCTCGCCGCCCCCCCCCCCCCCCGCAGGTGGGCAGGCTCGGAGGCCGGGGCCTTGTCACGGACCTGATCGAGACGCTGAACAGGCTGGATCCAGTGGGGGTCTGCATCGTGGACCACAGCGCCGAGGAGCTCACCGGGTCGAGCAAGGACGAGGAGGGAGGAGGAGGAGGAGGAGGAGGAGGAGGAGGAGGAGGAGGAGGAGGAGGAGGAGGAGGAGGAGGAGGAGGAGGAGGAGGAGGGGGAGGAGGAGGGAGGAGGAGGAGGAGGAGGAGGAGGAGGAGGAGGAGGAGGAGGAGGAGGAGGAGGAGGAGGGGGAGGAGGTGGAGGAGGAGGAGGAGGAGGAGGAGGAGGAGAGGAGGAGGAGGAGGAGGAGGAGGAGGAGGAGGAGGAGGAGGAGGAGGAGGAGGAGGAGGAGGAGGAGGAGGAGGAGGAGGAGGAGGAGGAGGAGGAGGAGGAGGAGGAGGAGGAGGAGGAGGAGGAGGAGGAGGAGGAGGCGGAGGAGGAGGAACCGAGACATCATGCTCGTGGCATTTCCTGTTCTTCTGCGGGCGCTCTTTTCGGCGCGCCACAGGGGCCCGCGGCGGACCTCTCGGCGCCACAGCAGGAGCGGCCTCGCGGCCAGCAGCTGGCCCCCCTGGGGGCGGGGTCGAGAGCTCATTTCGACTCCTCCGATTCGATTTGATTCTATCTCGATTGCTTCCGATTCGGATTCGATTCGACTTGGGATTCCGATTTTGATTCCGCCTTCTTATGGGACGCGTGTTAGCCTGCCGATCTCCGCCGATCCGACTTCTCCCGACCCGGCTGCCGATTTCCGCCGATCCGATCCACTTCGATCGCCGATCCGACAATCGCGCCGACGGAGGTCTGGGCACGTCTCGGCGGGTCCCACCAGCCAGCCCCTCCCCCCTCTCGAGCCCTCCCAGAGCTCAAAGGGGGGGGGGTCAAGGTGGCGGCGCCAGGGGTGTTTTTTTTTGTTTTTGTTTTTGCTTTTCGTTGTTGTTGTTGTTGTTGTTGTTGTTGTTGTTGTTGTTGTTGTTGTTGTTGTTGATTCTGCCCAGAGGCGCGCGGGAAAACACGGGCCCACCCCGAGTCCAGACGGGCCGCCGCAGGGATTGGCTCCTGGGCGGCGGGAAGGGTGGTGGGGGTGTTTGTTCTGGCCGCTGGAGGAGCGCATGGCGGATCTCTGCCTGGTGGAGCCGACGATGAGGCGCATGGCTGCCGAGGGCAGCCTCCGCGCAGTGTCCGCGGACCCACGAGACAGGCGATGATGCTGATGATGCTGATGCTGATGATGATGCTGATGCTGACGACTGGTGATTGATGGTGATTGTGGCGGCAGAAGTAAGGATGCTGCTGCTGGTGGCATTGACGCGGATGTTGCTGCCGATGATGATGATGATGATGATGATGATGATGATGATGATGATGATGATGATGATGATGATGATGATGATGATGATGATGATAATGAAGATGACGATGATGATGATGATGATGATGATGATGATGATGATGATGATGATGATGATGATGCTGATGATGATGATGATGATGATGATTGCTGCTGCTGCTGATGATGATGATGCTGACGATGATGATGTGATGATGATGATGATGAGGATGATGTTGATGATGATGCTGCTGATGATGCTGATGCTGATGATGATGATGCTGACGATGATGATGCTGATGCTGATGCTGATGATGACGATGATGATGAGGATGATGAGGATGAGGATGATGATGATGATGAGGATGATGATGATGATGATGATGATGATGATGATGATGCTGATGATGATGATGGTGGTGGTGGTGATGGTGATGATGCTGATGATGATGAGGATTGTTGTGGAAATGGGTGTTGGTGGTGGTGGTGATTCGGATACTGATGATGATGATGATGATGATGATGATGATGGTGGTGGTGGTGGTGGTGGTGGTGTTGACGATTATGATGATGATGGTGGCGATGATGATGATGCTGATGATGATGATGATGATGATGATGATGATGATGATGGTGCTGGTGATGGTGATGGTGATGATGATGCTGATGATGCTGCCGATGATGACGATGATGGTGGTGGCAGTGATGATGGCTTGGGGGGCCGATCGCGCTGTCGATACCAGACAACGCGCTGCTACAGCTGATGAGAAGGATGGAGCAGGAGAATGATCAGGAGGAATGAACACGATCAGAAGGACACTAATGGTACTGCTGATGATGCTGCTGCTCCTTGCGATGATGATGAGGATGATGATGATGATGCTGGTAATGATGCTGGTAATGATGATGCTGATGCTGATACTTATGATGATTATGCTGATGCTGATGGTGATGCTTACGATGGTGGTGCTGGTGATGATGTTGCTGCTGCTGGTGTTGTCACTGATAGTGACGATTGTGATGGCGATGATGGTGGGAACGGTGGTGGTGACGATGCCGCTGATGATGATGCGGATGCGGATGTTGATGCTGCTGAGGATGTTGATACTGATGATGACGATGGTGATGGCGATGCTGGTGATGCTGATGTTCATGATTACGATGATGATGCTGATGGTGTTGATTATGACGATGCTGATGATGATGGCGATTCTGATGCTGATGCTGGTGCTGACGATGACGATGCTGGATGTTATTATGATGGTCATTATGGTGATGCTGGTGATGATGATGATGACGACGATGATTGTGAGATGATGACCGTGATGATGATGATGATGATGATGATGATGATGATGATGATGCTGTTGTCGATGATCATTTTGCATCTGATGGCGATACTTAATGATGATGATGACGATGATGCTGATGATGACGATGCTGATGCTGATGATGATGCTGACGATGGTGGTGGTGGTGGTGATGATGATGATGATGATGTTGCTGCTGCTGGTGATGATACTGATAGTGACGATTGTGATGATGATGATGGTGGTACCGGTGGTGGTGACGATGCCGCTGATGATGATGTGGATGCGGATGTTGATGCTGCTGATGATGTTGATACTGATGATGACGATGGTGACGACGATGCTGGTAATGCTGATGTTCATGATTACGATGATGATGCTGGTGATGATGCTGATGATACTGCTGATGGTGTTGATTATGACGATGCTGATGCTTATGGCGATTCAGATGCTGATTCTGGTGCTGACGATGACGATGCTGGTTATTATTATGATGACCATTATGCTGGTGATGATGATGATGATGATGATGATGATCATTGTGATATGATGGCGTTGATGATGATGCTGTTGTCGATGATGATTATGCATCTGATGGCGATAACGATGATTATGACGATGATGATGATGACGATGGATACGACGACGATTATGCTGACGAGTGCCATGACGATGATGAGGATGATGCTGATGATGCTGATGATGATGATGATGATTGTGCGGATGGTGCTGATGATGACGATGCTAGTCGTGGTGATAGTGGCGATGACTTGGTGGGCCGATGATGGCGCGGCCGATATCAGGCCCCGCGCTGCCACTGCTGATGCTGAGGAGGGACGACAAGGGACTAAGAGCTTGAGGAGAAGAAGGGACACGATGACAAGGACATTGCTGACGATGCTGATGATGACGATGCTGATGATGATGCTGATGATACTATTCCTGGTTATGCTGATGCTGATGATGATGCTGATGATGTTGCTGCTGATGATGATGATGCTGCTGTTGATGGTGATCACGCTGATGATGATGCTACTAATGATGATGACGATGACGACGATCATGTTACTTCTGACGATAACAATGGCGATGATGACGATGACGATGCCAACGAGGAGGATGATGATGATGGTGATGACGGTGACGATGGCCATGCTTATGAAGATGATGATGATGATTATGATGCTGATAGTGATGCTGATGATGTTTTTGTTGATGCTGATGATGATGATCACCATGCTGCTGCTGATGATGATGATGCTCGTGGTGGTGGTGGTGGTGCTGATGAGTAGTATGCTGCTGCGGATGATGATGATGATGCTGATGATGATGGTGATGTTGATGATGATGCTGTTAATCATGATGATGATGATGATGATGATGATGATGATGATGATGATGATGATGATGATGATGATGATGATGACGATGGTGATGATGCTGATGCTGATGATACAGATGCTGATGATGATGGGCCATCACGATGGTGGGAGATAATGATGATGATGATGAGGAGGAGGACGAGAAGGAGGAGGAGGAGGAGGAGGAGGAGGGGGATGGTGATGATGATGATGATGATGATGCGGAGGAGGAGGAGGAGGAGGAGGTTGACGTAGGAGGCGGGAGTCAAAAAGGGGGTATTGGAGGTGGAGTAGGAGTAGGAGCCGGAGGACGAGGATGAGGAGGAGGAGCCGGAGGAGGAGGAGGATGAGGTTGAGGATAAACTAATGATTATGATGACGATGATGATGCTGATGATGATGATGATGATGATGATGATGATGATGGTGGTGTTGATGATGATGATTATGATGATGATGCTGATAATGATGATGAGGAGGAGAAGGAGAAGGAGGACGAGGAGGATGAGCAGGTGGAATCCGTCTGAGAATTCTCGATCGCGTCACAGCACCATCCTCGGGACTTTCACGACGCGAATCGAAGTTGCTGTTGCGTCTTGGCGGTCCTGATTCGCGCCAGAACGCCATTCTTGGGACTTCAACGCCACGAGTTGATGTGATTGATGCGCCCTGACATTCCTAAATCGCACTATGGAACACCATTCCTGGAACGTCAACTACACATGTAATTGAAACATGTTTTTGAACATTGAAAGCGACCATGCGCGGCGCTATGGCGAGAGCCACATTTTGGAAAGGAGCCGCTTTCCGTTCGTGAAGATCTTGCAGACTTTGAGACGCATCTGCGCGGCGTTAATGGAAGAGCCACGTTTTGAAAAGGAGCCGCCGCCAATCCGTGAAACTCTTGCAAACTTTGACGAATCTGCGCGGCGCTGAGGCGACAGCCATATTTTGAAAAGGAGCCGCCCTCCAACAGTGAGGCTCTTGCAGACTTTTAAGACGAATGTGCGCGGCGTCAAGTCGATAGCCACGTTTTGAAAACGACCCGCCTTCCATCCGTGGAACTGCACATTCTAAGCTTCACGAGCATAAATACTAGGAAGTCCCAGGCGAATCGCTTGGCCCGCCTTTCCGACGCGTTTGTTTGTGCGACAGAGAGGAGTGTTACATATATATATATATATATATGTATATATACATATATATATAAGGTTGTGGAAGTCGATGAATGGAGAGGAAGCGTGCTGCCAAATAATTTCCAGATGTCTGAAAGATGTTTCAAACATGCTTTAAATATGTGAAACACATGTTTGAAACATATTTAGAACACGTTTTGTACATTTTAAGCGCATCTTTGATTCAAGGATCGGATTGTTAGAGTGTCCATTGTCATGGCATCCACAACTATATCGGGGTTGGACAGACCTCCTACCCTGACGCGTCGATTAAGGAATTGGCCGTTATCGGTTCGCGAGAGGGCGTCGCGGCCGTCATTTTTGCGGGTCCAGGTCCGTCGATTTCGGTCCCAGGTCGTTTTCACTAAGGGGAGGTCTACTAAAGAGAGGTTTGTCCACCGCCGACTATAAGGAAGCGGGATTCAGGTGGAGGGCGGAGCACGAGCGAGGAGGAGGGAGGAAGTCGTGCACAGGGACAACCTGCTGCTGGGCGGCCGGGTGGGCGCCGCGCGGGCCGTGGTGGCGCTGCCGGAGCAGCTCAGCAACGCCATGGAGTGCAGCCTGACCAACATGGGGGACCCGAGAGGGTCGAAGTCGCCGACGGATGGGAACGACGCGAGCGGGGGCGATGATTGGCATAGGGGGCCACATGTCAGGAGCGAAAGAAAAACGTACACGCACGTGAATCCACGCTGGTTTCGAGAGTACGCATTGCGCAAATGTTCGCATAACGCGGCCTGTCTCGCAGATCGAGGGGCCGTCATGTACATAGCTGGGTGCGTACGTCCTTTGTGGGCTCCCTAACATGTGAACCCGACCCCTGACCCCCACGATCTCTGAGGGGGAGGGTGGGGTTCACTTCGTTCGGGAGCTCCCGGGCGAAGTGACCCCCCCCCCCCCAGAAATCGTGGGGGGTAGGGGCAGGGTTCGCATGTGGCCCCCTATGGCAGCAGTTCCTGCTCACGTTGGATGGGGCTTACCGTCGGACCCGAGGCGGCCATGCCCCGTGCAGGGGCGAAGGTCGGCTGCTGCCTGGCAGCAGATGCTGCCCATCTCGGCCAACATCTGCTGTCGAGCAGCATCCCTGGGGCGTGCCCAGCTGCCTCTGTGCCCGCCAGTTTTGCCGTCTTCCTCGTTCTTGTCGTCGTCGTCGTTCTTGTCGTCGTCGTCGTTATCGTCGTCGTCGTCGTCGTCGTCGTCGTCGTCGTCCCTAACTATTATTGTGTCCTCCTCCTCCTCCTCGGATCTTCGCCTTGCTCCTGCAGCTGCTCCTTGTGGTTCGCCTCATTCGTCCGCCTGTTCCCCCTTCCCCGCCCTCCACCCTCGTCTCTCGTTGCCGGGCGACCGGTGAGGGGATGGGGTGAGGATCGGTTTCGTGGTTTTGGCTGGGACAGCCCAGGACGAGATCAAGACCCGGCACAAGATGCTGAAGCAGGTGCTGGACACGAACACTGTCATCACCATGCAGGTCGCATTTCGTCGTCGTGATCCTTGGCATCTTCGCCCTCTTCTTTGCCATTGTCCCCGCCGTCGGGCAGCTTGATATCAAGTTGCCAATCGCATCCTGGGACATTATGGTCCCCCTTTATGCTGCTGCTTGTCCTCCTTGTCGTCGTCGTCATCGTCGTCGTCGTCGCCGTCGCAGAACACTCATTTCTAGAAACTTGTTCAAGACGTTTCGCGTAACCCCACCAGCCCATCCAGAAACGGTGCCCAGACGAGTTGCCCTGATCAGGGATGTGGGGGAGCATGCAGTGGACTAAGAGGCTGGGTCAGACGTCATACTCAGGGGGAAAACGGAGGAGGAATCGGAGGAGGAGCAGGAGCAGGAGCAGGAGGAGGAAGAGGAGGTCCGTAGACATTTCGGCTCAAGTTCCGAGGCCGTGCTCGAGGGCTTGACATTCTTGCGTGGGGAGCGACGGCCCCAACAGATCTCCTGGCAAAACCATGCACGCATCTTTCTTCGGTGACCTGCCTTCCGGTCTTGCCTTATTTTCCGAACATTCGACATGGATGGCCCTCACGTCCGCACGTGCAGCAACAAGCGATTCGGGTGCAAGGACCACGGTTGGAGGTGCGTGTGCCGCATCCTGTGGGCAGGAGCCGCGCAGCCCGTCAGCCGTGTATCCACGGCAGACGGGCGGCAAGTGGCAAGATGGCCCACCTCGTGCTTCCAGTGTTACAGCTCCTCCTCTCTTCGATGACCGATTGTCGTCTAGGTAAGAATAGGGGAACAAAAAGTGACATAAACATAACAGCTCGGAGGTCCGCGCGGATTTCTCGGATCGGCGCTGGAGCCCCCCGGCGGCGCCTCCGTCGCCGCCCCTGGCGCGCTCCGCGCGCCAGGGAGGGGGGTCCCCAGCGCCGATCCGAGAAATCCGCGCGGACCTCCGAGTTGTTATGTTTATGTTACTGTTTGTTCCCTTTAAAAACAATGTTCAGATGGCTACAGCGTCTTGTCCAAGGGGTGGTCAGCTAAGGCCCTTGCTAGAGTTGCCGCCGCTCGAGCACTGGACGCAGGCGATGCCATCGTCACTGCGCGCGCTGCTCGCCAAACCTATGCTTTGTCCAGCAGAAGCTTGAACAGGCTCAAAGCAAGTGCGGTAAGGCAGCTGCGGTTCTGCCCGTCCCATGGAGTGTATATGTGTGTATATATATATATATGTGTATGCATATCTGTTTATATATCTCTATACATATATATATATATATATATATATATATGTATGTGCAGCAGTGTGCTACGCATCTGGCGGAGTGCAAGGCCGCGGCAGGCGAGGCAGCAGCGAAGGCCGCCCAGACGTGCGCAGCCCTGGCAGCCCCCTCGCCCGCTTTACCAGCCCGCTTGTGCAGCTCGAAGACTTGGTAGGGGTCCACATGCGAACCCTACCCCTACCCCCCCCACGATTTCTGAGGGGGGGGGGGGGTTCACTTCGTTCGGGAGCTCCCGAGCCAAGTGAACCCCACCCTGCCCCTCAGAATCGTGGGGGGTAGGGGTAGGGTTCGCATGTGGCCCCCTACAGGAGTGCCTGGCGCCAGCTTCTGGGGAGTATCTCGCCGAGCCAGAGTTCTTCTCGAGCTCTCTCAAGGCTCAATAAGCACCGGTCGGAGAGGGTTGTGATGGTATTGGCCTCGATGGCGGCGGCGACGACGATGGTTCGCCCCTCCCCAGCAGGCCCATGGTCAGTCGCTCGCTTCGCCAACCTGCTGCAAGCCATGCATGATCATCAGAAAACACAGCGTGCCCGCACAGGTGAAAATCAGCCGCAAGTTTAGCCAAGCGTGGTCCTTTGTCGCGATCAATATATCAGGCTGGACCGGCTTCGAGGCGGTGCTCAACTCGCAGCCCAGGCTAGAGACCGACACCATCGCGGCTCAAGAGCATCATTTTCGTAGGGTGCGGTGCATGGGACCAGCGGCTCCGTCACATGGGCTGGCGCGCGTCAGCCACAGTCGCCTTGCGCACAGGCCGAGCCCGCGCATCGGGCGGCCTGCTTCAGATGGTGCAGCAACGTCACAGTCTGTCCTTTCTGCATGGTCACGGGTCGGCGCTTGAGCCAGCTCGCATCGCAGCTCGACGCATGTCAGGCGAGTGGAGGAGGAGGAGGAGGAGGAGGAGGAGGAGGAGGAGGAGGAGGAGGAGGAGGAGGAGGAGGAGGAGGAGGTGGCGTGCTCTGGGGCGCTGTCTGCATGCACGACTCGCTGGGTCTCTCGCTCAGCAGTTGGGGCTTGCTCGGCGGGCTCGGCGCGATCATCCTTGCCTTCGGCGTGCCTCTCGTTTTCAGCGGGGGCTGGGATCTCTCAGTCCGCAGGAGCTCATGGGCACCGTGTGGGTGGAGGCGCTCGGCGGACACGCCATGGAGTCCACGAGACTCCGTGATTACGTGCACGGGCGACGCGACGCTGGACGGGTGCTTTACTATGTCATTGTCTCAGAAGGTTTGCAGTGCGGTCGCCAGCTTGCGGTGTCTGCGGGCGCGGGCACGGCTCCTCGCTACTCCGCGAGGCTTCGCATTCGAGGTCAGCGCCAGGTTCCATCTCTTTCCAGGTGCGCGCGCCTCGCACCTTCCACGTCAGCGCCAGCATGGCGCGAGGCAGCGCCATGTTTGCTGGCGCGCTGTCGCGGACAAGTTTCTCGCCCAAGTGGGCGCGCGGGAGTTGTTGGGCGGTTTTGTCGCTGTCATGGAGCGTCAGCTTGCGGGCGTCGGGGACCAACGTGGGCCCCGAACCGTGGTGGAATGAATGTTGCTGGCCTTCTCGCCGAGGCCATCTTGGACGCCCTGACCGATGGCGCCCCCCCTCTCCAAAAACCCCAGGCGGGGGAGCGGGAAAGTAAACCCGAAGGAAGAGGTTCTCGGAAGAGGAAAAAATGTTTTCGTCATACCACCTTGGCTCGAAGGGCTGGTGGGATGATTGGTAATCTACGGAAGCGGTTCCAGGCATTGTCGCCTCGACTTTGGCTGCATTTTCGCAGAAAACGTAGCTCTCGCCCGAGCGCGGGCTTGCTTCCCACTCCCAGTTGTTGAAGGCCCAACTGTGGCGACAACGGCTCCCGCTCGAGAGTTCTTCATAAGTTATTCGAGACGCACTAACCAAACCAGAGAGGCCCCCAGACTGAGGAACGGCGCTCTCGCTCCATACTTCCTCGCAACTGGGTGAAGGCCCAACTACGACTACAGCGGTTCCCGCTCGATAAGCCCTGGCCAGAGAGGCCCCCAAATGAAAGAGCGGCGCTCTCTACGGAGACTTCCTCGCAATTTATTCAAGCTGGTGACGGCCCACCTGCGACGACAACTGCTCCCGCTCGATACGGCCGGGCAGTTCACTCGGCCAGGAATGGCGCTCTAGCCCAAGACTTCTTCGCAATTCGTTCAACTTGGTGAACGCCCAGCCACGACGTCAGCGGCGCCCGCTCGAGATTCCTTCGCTCGTTGCTCTGCGACGCCTCGGAGGCGCCAAAAAACCCACGAACGGCCCTCTCTCCCGAGGCTTCTCCGCAATTCACTCAAGTCGGTGAGTTGTCCACGGGCGCGTTGGCTCGCGTGACGGTCCTGGCGGCGTCGTCGTCGTCGTCGTCGTCGTCGTCGGGCGTCGTCGTCGGGCGTCGTCTTCGGGCGTCGTCGTCGTCGACGGACATCGTCGTCGTGCGTCGTCGTCGTCGTCGTCATCATCGTCGGGCGTCGCGGTGCGCACACAGCATGTATTGCTGAATGCTTCTCCCAGGAGCTGGCACGAGAAGAAGTCCCCCCCAAACAAGGGGTTGGTTCGTAGACTTAGCCAGTGGATGCAAGGGGGAGGGAGAAACGCATGTAGGGTAAAGCAGTTTGTGATATCACAGGTTCACAAGATGGTCGTCGTCGTTGTCGTCCTCGTCCTCGTCCTCGTTCTCGTCGTAGTCGCCGCCAGGCGTCGTCGTCAGGTGTCGTCGTCGTCGTCGTCGTCGTCGTCGTCGTCGTTGGTCGTCGGCGTCGTCGTCGTCGTCGTCGGGCGTCGTCGTCGGTCGTCGTCGTCGTCGTCGTCGTTGTCGTCGTTGTCGGGCGTCGTTGTCGTCGTCGTCCGGCGTCGCCGTTGCCGCCCGCGGCGCCTGCGGCGCGCAGGTCGCCCGCGGGTGCGCCGAGCGCAGGCGCCGCCGATCCATGACGAAGACCCCCTCCCAGGCCGGGCCGCGCGGGTGCTCCTCAGGGTCAGCGTCGATAGCATTGATTACGGTCAACCTGCACAGTAAGGATGAGCAACCTTCCCAAGGCGACCTTTGCATCCTTGCCCCCTCGGCCCATCCTTGGCGGCTTTCGCTGGCCAACCTCATTCGAAAAACGTTGACATGGACCTCCGATGCCCTTGCATCCTTACCGCGCATCCTTATTATACGGGTTGACTGTAGCGTCGATCGGCGCCGACTCGCGTCGAGTAGCGTCTGGCAATCGATGGGGTTGCGCCGATCTAGCGTCGATTGGCGTCGATTGTCGCCGACTCGGCGTCGATTGGCGTCGAGTCGCGTCGTCGCTTGCCGTCGGCCGGCAAGATGGCAGGGGAGGTTCCCACGAGTTGCCACCGAATCTTCGAGAGGGAGGCCCTTCAGCCCGAGGGTACTGGTCAGGAGGCGTGGTAAGCAGCAGAAGTCAGGGGCAACTTTGGGGGGGACTGGGCTCTGGGGGAGACGCATCGACCCTTGCTCGCCCATTGATTGCCGATGGTCAGGCGATCGCAAACATGGATTAAGGGGGCGTGGATGAGCGACGGGTCCCGTTTCCATGGGAAATCGCGGATTCCCGCCGCCGAACTGGGCGTCACCGGCCGCATTTTAGGGAGGGCACCTCCCCCGATCCGTGGTTTTCAGCGACCGCGCACCAAATCCATGGATCGCTAATCCATGTTTGCGCGCCCCCGACAAAGGGTGTTATGAGAATCTGTTTGTGGTCTGCGCGAGATGTTCTGAGAACGCTGCTGGCCGAGACTGTTCTGTTTTGGCACGTCGGGTTTATGTTCCAAGAAGAACAGTGTCTTTGTTCTTAGGGCGTGTGTCGGTTCTAAGAGCATTTTCGTGGTAGGCCTACTCCTTGGCGTGCCACTCCTCGGCGCAGCCGGCTACGAGGGCGCCGCCTCGGCGGGCCACCCTGCCGGAAGCCGGCCTGGTGCTCCCAGTGGCTGCCACCCGGTGGCCTCTCTCGGGTGGCGAGCGGCGTGGCCCGAGAGCACCGACAGGCGGATCGCTAATCGTAAATCGGGCCTGTCCCTCTACGGGGGGGATGTTCAAAGGTAGTAAAGATAGAGCCTGGGGGCCATTTTTGGACTAGTTGTGGGCATTTTTGCAGCATTTTTGGGGCATTTTTGATTTTTCGTCCAAAGTTCGGGGTTGGACAGACCTCCTACCTTGACACGTCGATTCAGGAATTGGCCGTTCTCGGTTCTCGCGAGAGGGCGCCGCGGCCGTCATTTTCCAGGCGTGTGCCCGCCAGGTTTGGGCCGGAGGTCGTTTTCACTAAACCGCGTGTTACGAAAGGGAGGTCTGTCCATCCCCGCATTTGTGATCCTTCGTCCAAGATCCCTCTGTAGGTCACCACCCACCAAACCACCCCAACCCAACCCGAAGGCTCAAATTTACCCTCGATTTCCAGTGGGGGGGTGGTCGGGAAACATCGAAAAAACACATGTGGAACCCTTGCCCCCCCCCCAACCCGAAATTCGGGTCTTCGGGTTGGGTTGGGGTGGTCTGGTAGGTCGTCAGTAGGGGGACAGGCCCGACCCAACGCCAAGCCGTGCCTGCGCGCCCCCGCGGCGGGGGGCCCGGCGGCCCGCGACCCGCCCAGGAGCGCTTGGCTGCGCTGCCGGGTCGGGTCCCTCGCCGATCCGTCGGCCACGTACGGCGCCCGTTCCAGCGCTCGAGGTTTCGGGCAGGGCTCGAGCTAAACGGTGTTTTGGCAATTTCGTGGACCGTTTTCGTTTTGACTTCGTTTTGCAGCAGATGCGGAACGAGGACAGAACTAGGGATGGCGAAAACAAAACAAAAACGGAAAACACTGTGTAACTCGAGCCCTGGTTTCGAGCAGCGGCGACGCGTCTTGGCTCGTTTGTAGGCACACCAGGGACAGGCGATCGCAAGCATGGAGTAGCGGCGGCGACGCGTTCTGGTTCGCCTGTATCAGGAGAGGGAAAACACACAGACACAATGAATCCTCGATTCCCCAGAAGATGTGGGAAAATGTGGGAAGGGGGGGGGGGAAGACAGAAACCCAGAAAATATGGGAGAATAGGGGGAATCTTTTTATTTGTGTGTATTTATTAGTGTGTCCCGGGGCCCCTTCACTGTAGGCACACCAGAGGCAGGCGATCGCAAGCATGGAGTAAGGGGGCGTGGACTAGCGACGGGTCCCGTTTCCATGGGAAATCGCGGATTCCCGCCGCCGAGCTGGGCGTCACCGGCCGCATTTTTGGGGAGGGCATCTCCCCCGATCCATGGTTTTCAGCGACCGCGCACCAAATCCATGGATCGCTAATCTATGTTTGCGCGCCCCCGACAAAGGGTGTTATGAGAATCTGTGTGTGGTCTGTGCGAGATGTTCTGAGAACGCTGCTGGCTGAGATTGTCTTGTTTTAGCGCGTCGGGCTTATGTTCCAAGAACAGTGTCTTTGTTCTTAGGGCATGTGTCGGTTCTAAGAGCATGTCGTGGTAGGCCTACAGGAATGCCAGGACGGTCGGCCGCTGCTCACATGTTGTTCCCCCTCGTCCTCCTCAGGGTGGCCGCCACTGGTTGCGGCCGGATTCGGGGGCCTTCAAGCGCTGTGGTGGGTCCGTGTTAAGTCGGGCACGTCCCTCTACAGGGGGCGTATTCCAGAATAGTCAAAAATAGTCGGGGCATTCTTTCATATACATATGTATGTGCAATATTTGGTGCATGTTTGGACTATTGTTTATTGTTCGTCCAAGATCCGCCTGTAGGGGGACAAGCCCGACCAACCGCCACTGGCAGTGGCCGGATTCGGGGGACTCCGAGCGCTGTGGTGGGTAAAGCGAGGGTCCGGGACGGCCGCACGGCCTGGGGGACCTCGGGTCGTTGATTCCGAGGACGTCTCGGGCGGCCGGGACAGGGCGCTGCTGGGGCGAACCATACGGTGAGGGCTCTTGGGATTGCTAAATTGCGAACAGGGGTTTTCGTTTAGGTGTTGGGTCTGGAACCCTCTGGGGGAGGGCCCAAACGAACGTGTTCGTGAACAAACTAGGGCCGTAGAGAATGTCCAGGCCCCGTCGCCACCGCTACGGCCACTTCCAGAATTTTATGTTGGGGTCTCGAGGTCACCGCGCACGGTCCGTCACCGCACCGCGTCGGGGCCGCCGAAGGATGCATTCGTGAGCGCGTGTCCAGGCCGCCTCAGATCCAAGACGGTGCCGAAGAAGGACGGGGGTCGGAGGATCGCGCTGCATCGCCGATGCAGGTCGTTGTGGAACCCGATGCATCGGCGATGCGTCGGCGATGCGTCGGCGATGCGTCGTCGACGCTCGGGCCCCATTTGGGCGGCCTCTGCAGCCCCAGTGGAAGCCAGCGCCTGGGGGTAGCGCCGCTGGCTTCTGGCTCCAGGGCATGGGATATACCGCCTGCACGTACAGGTCCTGTGCGCCTTATTCTTGCCGAGTATGCAACGTACACACACTATAGGTACATGCGTACAAACATACATACATACATACATACATACATACATACATACAGACATACAGACATACAGACAGACAGACAGACAGACAGACAGACAGACATACATACATACATACATTGACACATACATGCATGCATACATACATCCATCCATACATATATACATGCATGCATGCATACATACACATACACATACACATACATACACACGTACGTACGTACGCACGTACATACATTCATACATGCAACACACATACATACGTACATACATACAACCATACATACACATATGCAATCACACATACATACATACATACATACATACATACATCCATACATGCATACATACATACATACATACACACATACATACACACGTACACATGCATACTCACAACCATACATACATGCGTACGTACGTACGTGCATACATACATACACACAAGCACACAATCACACACATAGGCACGACCACCCACACACACAGAACTACATGCATGCATGCATGCATACATACACACATGCATACATACATACACACATACACACATCCATGCATACACACATATACACATACATACACACATCCATACATACATGCACGCATGCATCCATACATACATACACACATACATACAAACATACATGCATGCATGTATGCAAACATACATACATATAATACACACATACATACATACATGCATGCATGCATGCGCGCATACATACATGCATGCATACATGCATACATACGTACACACATACACACATGCATGCATACATACACACATACATACGTCATCACATACTTCTATACGTATTTATACACAATGTAAATATATACGCGTGTCGGCCGTGGCCGCAGCTTGCTGGAGCCCCCATGCGTGCAAAGCGCGGCGCGGGCTTCTGGTTGATGCCGTAGCAGTGAGCCTGGCCGCCCTCCCCCGGCGGGCCGGTCCCTCCCCTCCGCCCCCCCCCCCCGGCGAGACCCCCGCGCGGTGCTGCCCGAGTGCAGCTGCGGGCGGCGGGCACGTGTTGTCAGATAGTTGCGCCACTGAACCGTGCACTGCGTCCTGGCTGGAGTGCAAGCGTTGGGAAGTGCGTGCCGACCGCGTGGCGGCGCCGGCGGTGCAGGGGGAGGGAGGAGGCGGAGGAGGAGGAGGAGGAGGAGGAGGAGGAGGAGAAATTGGGAGACAGGAGTACGTAGCACCCAGCAGTTGCGGATAAGAGTGAGGGGGCGGCGGGGACGTCTGCAGTCTGCGAGGCTCTGAAGAAGCCCGCCGCAGGTGCAAACTTTTCAAGCTATGCAGCGAGCCCGCCGCAAACGCCGCTTTTTGGTTAAAACAGTGTAGGTGGGTCGCGGGTTGGGTCGCAGGTGGGTCGCGGGTGGGTCGAGGGTGGGTCGCGGGCGGGTCGCGGGCCAGGTCGCGGGTGGGTCGCGAGCGGGTCGCGGGGTGGGTCGCGGGTGGGTCGCGGGGTGGGTCGCGGGTGGGTCGCGGGCCAGGTCGCGGGGGGGACGGGTCGCGGGGGGGACGACGACAACCAACAACCAACAACCAACAACCAACAACCAACAACCAACAACCAACAACCAACAACCAACAACCAACAACCAACAACAAACAACAAACAACAAACAACAAACAACAAACAACAAACAACAACAACAGCAGCAGCAACAACAACAACACCAACAACACCAGCAACAACACCACCACCAACAACAAACACAACAACAACACCAGGAGCAGCAACAACAACACCAACAACACCAACACCACCAACAACAACAGCAGCACCAACAACAACATCAGCAACAGCAACAGCAGCAACAACAACAACAGCAACCGTAACACCACCACCACCAACAACAACAACAACGACGACACCACCACCAACAATACCAACACCAACAACAACAGCAACAACACCAACACCAACACCACCACCAACAACAACACCAACACCAACAACAACAGCAACAACCCAACACAACAGCAACAACAACAACAGCAACAGCAACAGCAACAACAACGCGACAAGCATAATCCTCACCACGGATCCGCACTTAAGCCACGCACCCAGGGACAATGAATGACCGTTGGACCCCCTCTTTCTGCTGATCATGAGGAGGGGGAAAGTGGAGAAGGAGAAGGTGGAGGGAGGGATGAGGAGGATCAGGAGGGTAAGGAGGGAGGTGGAGGAGGCAGATGAGGAGGAGGAGTGGAGACGAGGCGCAGCCGAACAAGTCCAACAAGCTCCACTGCGTGACGCTTCTGCTCCAGGAAAGCACCTCGAACCTGTTTTTCGGCCACGCCAACCATCGCCACATGGGCGCCGCGCGCCTGGGCGAAGCAAAGCCGGACGGACGGGGCCTTCCCCTCCCCCTCGCCGCCCTCGGGGGTTGAGGGAGGGGGGAGGGGAGGCGGGAAGGACCAGCACTGTGCGTTCGCGCCGTATTTGATATCCTACCTTTCCCGCTCATCCCTTCCCGCTGCGCCGATCTTGTCTCTCTTTCCGCCGACGGGTGTCGTGGCGCACCTGGAACCTCCAAGAGGACCTCCTCGTCTTACATGCGCGCAGTGTGAAAGGGGAGCTGTGTGTACTTTGGAGGGGGAGGCGGTGGAAGAGCAGGATGATGAGCGTGTGGGCGAAGAAGACGAGGAGGACGAGGAGGAGCAACAGTTGAAAAGGGGCAGAGGGAGCGAGAGGAGTAAGAAGACCAGGGAAAGGCGGGGGGGGGGAAAGGAAGAGGGCGACAATGACGAGGAAGAAGTACGGTAGGTTCGTGTCGTGTCGACCGGCGGCGACCCCGCCAGCGGCGTTCAATTTTGAACGCCGCGGGCGACCCAGAATCGTGCGATGTCGAACGATTTGGACGCTTCGGAAACGGCCGACGTTCAAGGTTGAACGATCCCCCGCGGTGTCAAAAACCAACGCCGAAGTCGGCACGACACGAACCTGATGTACTTGGATCCATAAACGTGGCCCGCACTGGGCCGAGAGCACCACTCTGAACGACGGGGGCCCACCGCCGATCCTGAGCTGAAGTCAACACGCTGCAGCGGGGACACCCGCTTTGCAACATCGCTCGGATGGGGAAACACACACGAGTCATCTCACACTTGGAAATCCTGTGTGCATGTGTGTACATATACAGGTACACATGCACACACATATATATGTATATATACATATATGTATATATATATATATATATGTATATATACATACACATCGACATGTGTGTGTAGCTATGTATATTTATGTGTGTGTACATGAAGACCCTACGCGGAGACGGCGGAATATCTTCTGGACGTACTCAGAGGAGACAGGGTGATCGTGCTCGGAAGGGCGCGCTCTCCGCCGCTGCTGGCAGGGGGTTGCGGGGGGAAAGGGGGGGTGTTCAAACCCCCCCCTCCCTCGAGAACCAGGGGCCGGACCTCCCCCCCCTTTCCCGGGAAAATTCGTGAAAATCATTGGGATGGGGGGGGGGGTCCAGAGCTCCCAGATCCTGCCCCCCCCCCCCCTCACCACCCTCCCCCCCCTCACCACCCAGAAAGATCAGCGCCGGGGGGGTCTGGAGTCTGGACCTCCCCCCAGGAACGACAACGACGACGACGATGACGACGACGACGGCGACGCACGACGCACGACGCACGACGCACGACGCACGACGCACGACACGACGCACGGCGCACGGCGCTCGGCGCACCACGACGACGACGACGCCGACGCCGCCGCCGACGACGCCGCCGCCGACGCCGACGTCGCCAGACGACGACGACGACGACGACGACGACGACGACGACAGCGACGACGACGACGCCGACGACGACGCCGCCGTCCTGCCGACGACGACGAAGACAACGAAGACGACGACGAGCAGATCAGAGTTGGCGTGGAGTTAAAAGTACAACAGGAGTGGAACAGATGGCAGAGCAGGGTCGAGCAGAGCAGGTTGGGACACGGTAGGGTAGAGTCGGGCAGGGAAGGGTAAAGTAGTGCAGAGTGGGAGGGTGCACATCAGGACGAGTAATCAGAGGAAGAGTCGCCTGCATAAGAGCAGGTGGGCAGAGCAGAGCAGGACTACAGCAGAGTATAGCAGAGATGAGTAGAGTACAGTAGGATCAGGGTAGAGTAGAGTACGAGCAAAGTAGAGTACAGTAGAGTATGTCAGGCTATGGTAGTGTGGAGTAGGGTACAGTAGAGTAGGGCAGAGTAGAGTAGAGTAGAGTAGAGTAGAGTAAATAAGGAGTAAAGTAGGGTAGTAGCACTGTGGAGTAGAGTCGAGTCTATGAGGGAACGGTAGGGTAGAGTGGTGTAAGGTAGAGTAGAGTAGGGCAAACCGAATCGAGTAGACAAGAGTAGATGAGTGGAGTAGATCAGACGTAGAGTAGAGTAGAGCAGAGCTGGGTAGAGTAGAGTAGGAGTAGAGTCGACTAGAGTGAAGAACGAGCAAGGTGGAGTAGAGCAGAGTATGCTAGGGTACGGTAGGGCAGAGTATAGTAGAGTGGAGTGGGGCAGAGTAGAGTAGAGTAGAGGAGAACAGAGTAGATGAGTGGAGTGGAGTGGAGTAGAGTCGAGTGCGAGCATAGTGAAGTAGAGTTGAGTATATGAGGTCACGGTAGGGTAGAGTAGGGTAGAGTAGAGAAGGGCAGAGTAGAGCAGAGGAGAGAAACTTAGATTAGGGAAGAGCAGGGTTGAGCTGTGTAGAGTACAGAGGGATACTGAGAGAGCTGTATCGATCCGTATCTGCATTCTATCAGAGCTGGCGCCTGGCGCGGTTGCTGGCGGCAGGTGCGCCGCCGCCGCCGCCGACGTCGTCGTCGTTGCCCCTGGGGGGTGTGGGGGGGTCTTGGAACCCCCGAAGGTTTTTCGGGGGGGTCCAGAGCTAGTTTTCCTACGGGGGATCCGGTCCTCAGGGTTCCCAGGGGGGTTGGGGCTGGGTTTGGGGGGGGATCCTTGCTTGCATACCCCCCCCCTCACGTTCTGTGTAGGGGGGGGAAGGGGAGGGGCCCCCTGGTTTCTGACCCCCCCGCCGAGAAAATTTTCAGGCCAGCGACGGTGGATCGCGCTCCTACACGTGCTCCTATCGAGTATATCAGCGCGAGGGGGGAGGACAAGGTGCAGGGGGGTGGTGGGGAGGAGGTGATGAAGGTGGCGGTGATGATGCTGATGGTGCCGATGATGATAATGGTGATGGTCCGAATGACGGTGGTGACGATGATGATGATGATGATGATGACGATGGGATGATGATTGCGATGATAGGGCTGATGGTGGTGGTGGTGGTGATGATGGTGAGCGTGATGCTGATGACGACCATAATGATGCGGAGCATGGTGGTGACGATACGTCTGCTGCTGATGATGCTGATGATTATGATGATGGTGGTGGTGGTGGTGATGTTGATAAAGCGGATGGTGGAGCTGATAGGTATGTCGACGACGATGCGGGTGAGGATCTGCTGTTGATGAAGATTAAAAGTATGATCATGGTGATGTTGATGAGGATGATGATGGTGATCCTGATGATTCTGATGATGACGACGGCGACTGGCGACGATGCTGTTTATGGTGCTGATGCTGCTGGTGATGGTGAAACTGATGATGGTGGTGGTGATCATGTTGGTCCACCTGATGTTGATACTGATCACGATGACGAGACTCATGCTGGTGTTGTTGCCGCTGCCAGTGATGATGGACATTGTGCTGCTCCTCAGGATTGTGATCATAATGGTCATCGTATGGGTGGCGATAGTGATGGTGCTACTGTGGACGAGGATGGCGGTGGTGGTGATGATGATGCCGATGATGCTGATGATGATGATGATGATGATGATGATGATGATAATGATGAGTGTGATGATGATGACGACGAGGATGAGTATGCTGGTGAGTGTACTGATGATGATGATGGCTATGCTGCTGGTGATGATGATAATGATGATGCTTATGTTTGTGATGCTGCTGACGAAGTTGATTGATATTGTGATGCTCTTCAAGATGATGCTCATAATGGACATAGTCGACTTGGTGATTGGATGGTGGTGGTTGTGGGGATGCTACCGAGGATGATGACGATGCTGATGACGATGCTCTTGGTGATGATGCTGCTGCTGATGATGATAATGGTTAGTGCGATGCTGATGATGATGCTGATGATGGCGATGATTCTTGTGATGATGCTGCTGACGATGATGATGCTGATGATGATGAGGATGATGATGATGATGATGAAGATTATGCGGATCATGATGATGGTGACGATTATGATAAGGATGTTGCGAATGATGTCGATGATGATGATGATGATGATGATGATGATGCTGATGTTGATGATACTCATTATGATGATGATGCTGATGAAGATGATGATGATGGTGATGATGCTGATGGTGGTATGATGATGATGATGATGATGATGATGATGACGATGATGATGATGATGATGATGATGATGATGATGATGATGATGATGATGATGATGATGATGATGATGATGATGATGATGATGATTATGGGGATGATGATTGTGATGATGACGATTTTGATGATGATACTGCTGCTGATGCTGCTGATGCTGATGCTGATGCTGATGCTGATGCTGATGCTGATGCTGCTGATCATGATGATGGGGAGCAGGAGCATGACGACTAGGATGATGATGATGCTGATGATGATGATGATGATGATGATGATGAGGAGGAGGAGGAGGAGGAGGAGGAGGAGGAGGAGGACGAGGAACAGGAGGAGAAATAGGACGAGTTCGAGAAGCAGGAGCAGGAGGAGAAGCAGGAGCAGCAGGAGGTGGACCAGAATGCTCCCGAAATGCTCCTCAATGCGATGATCAATGTGATACCTGGCTGCCTGCGACAAATGCCGCCAGCAGGAAAAAGGGTGAATTTGTGACCGCCTTCAGCGAAGTGCTCTGTTTGGATTGATGCGGGTCTTGAGCAAGTCCTCCTTGCCCGCAGCCTCGTTATCTTGTGCCCCCATTAATCGTATTCCTTTTTCCCGGAAAGGGCTCCGCCCTGGAGGGTTCTCTTTTAGTTGGTTTCCCCCCGTTTTCGACGGCTGTAGGGCCGGCGACTTTCTTTTGCGATAAATAACGAGGTCGCGTAGGGCCGGCGAATTAAAATTTGAGGATGTCTCGAGCGAAACGCTTGTTTTTCAGAATTTGTTGAGGATTTCTCGAGCGAAACGCTTGTTTTGTGTTATAGATTGTCCTCTCCTGGGGACCTGAATTCTGAGGATCTCTCAAGTGGATTGCTTGTTTTCACGTGCCCAGGTCTTGAGGATGTCTCGAGCGAGACGCTTGGTTTCACGCCT